ATTTATAAAATAAAATACAGAATGCTGTTAACAAGAAGAGTCTTTGGATATTAAAAATATAATTGCTGGCATTAAAAGAAGATATTTATTTACAGAATTGGAAAATAAGGTTAAGGAAATCTTCCTGAGTGTGGAAGAAAAAGAAGAGACAGAGAATCAATCCAGGAGATCCAATACCTGGCCAACCAGAGTTCTAGAAAAAGGTAAGAGGGAGAAAAGAGCGACAGAACTATGAAAGAAGACCTCCCAGGAGATCTCCTGGGCCCGGATGCCTGCCTCTTCAGACTGAAAGGACGCTGAGACTGAGGAAGGCAAGATACACAGACAGACATGGTGGAGAAATCCACGGACACCAGGGACAAAATCCCCGAGACCTTGCAGAGAGGGGAGAAAGGGGCGGCAGTGTCCTCAGAGATCTCAACAGCAGCCACGGAAGTGTGTGACGGTGGAGGGATGTGCTCAGTGTTCTGAAGGAGAGAGTCCACCTAGCGTGCTTAACAGTGCACTGGGAGGATGAGGGACGCCACCACTGCAGCGCACTGCTGCACGTCAGTGGCTTTCCGCCACACCAAGTTAGTTCTTGCTCATGTGAAGGTCATTGGGGGTGGCTGCAGCAGGAACAGGCTGACCTGCACTCACCTGTGCTCATGGCCCATTGGTCAGTGCTGGTCATGTGACCCAGCCTAGCTGGACCTGCACTCACTTGTGCTCACAGCTCATTGGCCAGCACTGGTCACGTGACCCAAATCTAGCTCACCTGTGCTCACTACCCATTGGACAGCACTGGACCCAGCCTAGCTGGACTTGTGCTCACAGCCCATTGACCAGCACTGGTCACATGACCCAGCCTAGCTGCATGGGACACTGGGAAATGTAGGGAGCCACTGGAGGAGATGGTGTCCCTGATTTGTGCACCTGCAAACACAGGAGTCAACCAGACGCAGGAAGTCAGGGCTGAAAGTGGTGGCTCCAACCACCAGAGGTGGGCTTCAGGAAAGTTCCAGAATGAGAGCAAGTGTCTGTTCTAGAGAGCATCCCATGGGGGCACAGACGCAGGGCAAGAGAAGGTTGGCAGTGACATCTGGGTGGCGCAGCTGCCAAGTGGTCTGGGAGCAAGGTACACCCCGAGGAGCAGAGCAATGGGG